CCGCGTCCCATTTGTAAAGGCCGGAGTTTTTACAGGTGTGCTTCAGGGGCGGTTTACAAAGACCAAGGTGTTGAGAGTTGTGTTTAATTGTGTCAGGGAAGACCGCCCACCGTAAACAAGTCAGTCCAGCCGAAATGATTTTAATGATCGCGGTTTTTTCGTGGCTTGAAAGAATGATCGCCCTCTTTTCCGTAAGCTTCCGTCCTGTTCTCTTTTTTCTGCTCTATACTTTCTTGATCTCCTCTACCACCCGGGCTCACTACCTTGGGCGGATTGCTTACTGGGGCTTTGTTAGGCCAAGGAGACGGACACAAAGCGCTGTGAGGCTCATCTCTTCTAGGTTTTTTTTAAGATAGAGGGGGGCCGGGTGAGTGAGACCCGAACAACAGCCCCTATCGCGTCGTCGATCCCGGCCCCGTGCACATCTGCTCAGCATGTCCAAATGCTGGGGCCTATTGTTCACCGTCCCGGTGAATGACAGAGGCAGATCTTCCGCCCCATTGCGCCGCATTAAGCGCGGCAATTAGGCCCCATTATACCGGCGTGTTATACCCAACACTTCAGCTGAATACGCCAGTCATTAAACTCTCCAGCGGTTTCACACTTGGAATAATCTTGGCCCATTCAGGGCCCGCGACGGGTACTTTGGGCCCTTCTTTGTGGCGAGTGATGGCCCAATAACGGGATAATGTCGCCCTGCGGATCGTTAATGCCCCTTTTCCGGGGACAATATCTACCTGTGTCCCGTTAGATTGTTCGCGGCTGACCAGACATGTTGTAGTTTATTAGAAACCTAATACCCTACTTCTAAATTAAGGTAACGATTTATGGACCCCAAATGAAGAGGGTCTCTGACTGCATCTGAGACAGGTGGCACAAAGGGTGGGGCACAGGGGGAGACACAAAATGGAGCAGAAAATGAGACACAGAAAAAAATATGTGCCAGGGACAGGCATCAGTCCTGAGAAAAACCGGGATGGGGACCGTTAATGTGGCACAGTTGTCTCCAGGGGCCATTTGTTGGGTAGGCCTAAATGCCGAGAGAGCGCATGCCGTCGAGCTGAAAATCACAGAATTTATGAGGAGAAAATTGCAGGGTAACCTGGCAACAACGAGTGATCACTGACAAGGTATCAACGACGGACCGAATGGGGTAGGGATGGAGTACGACAAAACGACGGTGTGAGTGTTCCCATGGCTCAGCCCCATTCGCGCTTGTCACACAGGGGCGAGTTTTAAGTACACAGTCGGCCAGGCCCCCGCGGCGTTTTTCAACTGGTTTGTATACATTCCACGGCGAAGAAGGTGGGTTTTCTTGGAGTTGTTACGGAGGGGGGCTATGCCCGCTTAATGACACCTCATGGGATGTTGAAGAGGACTCCCTGAAAGGACCGCTAGGAAGTCAATGGACGGAGGCTGTCACTCAATGGGACGGGGCTTTGTGCCAAGTTACGCGGCGGGGTAATCACATTGATTTCCCACTACCTCTTGAGAGACTGGCATCCTTTTGAAAACTGGGGGAACTATGTTACGGAGCATTTTCTTCTCCTAGTTTTCATTCCTTGGGTCCGGACGTCAGTTTAAGGGGGTGGTTGGATTATAGTGCGTTAGCTCGGAAAACATTGACCAGGTGTATTGTGGTGAGGTGTTTACCTCAAACACTTCAGCGGTGTTGGATTTATTTGGGAAGGAAGGCGATATTATTCTGTTGGGACGAGTGGGGAACGTAAGAATGAAAATAAGGCGCAATTAAGAAGGGTATTGTCACGGCCGGGGGTTAGGAGACTGCTTAGATCGTCCCCTGGGTCGATCCGTGATGTGGATCATTCATTTGGAAATTCGTTTACGATTGTGTCATCGCCAGGTAGTAGACGTGTCATGAAATTATCAAGTATTAATTAAATGTATATTGAGGAATTCAAAAGCCTGATAAAAGTCTGTTGTACTACAAAACCATCAAGTGGAATGAGGGACATCTTCACCTATATTGAAACCACGAAGAGCGTCACGCGCACGAAAAAGTTCAAATTCTTGAAAACTGAGACGATCTGGTAAGATAATTTCGATGCAAATTTGAACTTTGATTGGAAAATGACCAAGGACTAATCTTTTTCGTGTCGTTACACCCGAGGAGTCAGGTTGGCGTAGTGGTTCTTTCCTCGCCTTCCACCTCTGGGGTCGGGGTTCGATTCCCGGCTCGGCCCATATGAATTGGGTTTTCAGTCCCCACCTGATTTCGTGGGTTTTTCCCAGAATATTCGTCTGGGGTTTTCTCCCACCTGTAAATCTATAACCGCCTCTCATAATCTCCCCTCAACAGGTTTCTTCAGACTCACGAGCTACAGTGTCTAGGCCTATACAGGGCATTTTTTAGGAATCCTTTGTGTAATTACAAGAAAGGATTAATAATACTAATCATAGTGAAATCAAACTTTGAACGACTCAGTTCAGGGCTGACCATGAACTGAGCAAATTAGAAAGTCTTGGACTTTGGAACCTAACATTCACTGAAGAACTCTCGTGCAACACCTTTAAGTCTTGACTGGCGAGACCCAAGCCAGTCAGGGTTCAATGTCAGTGCGCGCGGCAGACACACCCAGAGCCCTATAGCCTTCGTAGAGTGGGACCAACTTGACGGTTGTAGAACAACAAACAATGCCCGAGCTCTCAACGGTAATGATGCTGACTTGCGTCCTGGGCAAAAATATACAATCGCTCATATTTGTCAATCACGAAAGATGTGAAGTATGGGATCCTGTAGTGGACGTCGTTGACAATCCTCTCTTTCAAATATGAAATCCTTATTAATAGGTAATGGCGGTTAAAAACAAATATGAACACTTTGCATCATACCTCGTACACAGTCCTATGGGCCCCGAGCGGGACCAATAGAGGGTGCAATTTTCCTAACAACGGAGGCTCCTCTGGTAGGAACTCCACTTCGCTGGTTTACAAAAAACTATGAGATGCATGCGATGCACTCCCGTCCCTGCCAATCAGAGGAACACTGCCCGCCAGCATGGCTCCTTTCAATCGATGAGGGGGTGCTTCTACTCAAGACGGAAACGGTCTACGGATCGGGACGCGATCTATGGCTCAGATTTGTGCTCACAGCAACGAACAGCCGTAGCTTGTCCGTATCGTTTCGGCCACAATCGGCTTAACAGCAGAGATGGCAGATCAAGAGACAGTTACATCATTGCGTATACGGGTTTGTAGCTCTATGGTTTACGTAAGTCTCTTGTTTGATTTTCTTTCCATTTTGTTGCTCCCCACAGCAGTGATGGTATCTCTTGACGCTCTGTGTGAATTCAGGGATTGAGGTTGGCAATCTAAAAACTGTTGTTGTGTAGCAAATAGTTTATCACTGAGTGTAATTGCGAGTTCTCGTCCCAATGTTGTACCTGAAGACAGTTGAGATAACAGAAAAGGAACCCAATTCTATTTGATTCAACGCATCCTTTGTCAACATGTGAAGCTTTCTCACTACGTACGTACGTGTAAATTTCCAATTGACAGTTTCGGTATCCAAGTTAATTTGTTCGTGTCCGTATACGTATCCCCATGACACCGCACGTACACGGGTACGTACAAGGTTTCAAACATTTGTTTCGGCATGACTCGCACTTCCGTACGTGATGATGCACGCGGCAATGTAGCAACATCGGTGGCACTGATTTCTTCAAAAGCTATATTTATTCACCCCAAACTTAACTCCAAGAGATTGCTATCCAAACAAACGATACATCAAGTTTCGCGAAAGTAGGAATTTTTTTTGTTTTTAGGGGTACAATTTGGTACTAACGATGTGGTGTGTGCAAAACCGAAACTTCATACGTACCGATTCCGTACCAAGTTGCTTCCATACGTTGCCGTCCGTGCAACTTCTCCGCATCACGTGTAACAAAAGAGTCTAAAGTGATGACATCATCAGCCCCAAAAAAATACAGATATGTGATACGCGAGCGGATTTTCTCTTTGCCGAAACTGCATATCTGTATCTTTGCAAAGGCAGGTCCGAATGGCTAACATTTTTTTCGATGACTTTAGCGAGCCTTCGTAGTGAAATGCAAGTCGACTCACCTAATAGTCGGTGCCGTAGCCTGAGGCCGCGCTGCAGCATATTGAGAGGGTGGTATGGTAAACACACGTGTATCACACGCATAGCCGTGTATGATTGACACGCACCAATCACGAGAAATGCCAGGGCATGCAGAAAATGACGTTGTTTAGTGTCGTGGGGAAGACGTATTGGAAAAATACTCCCGGATGTTTGGAATGCTTTGGGAAATACTTAGAATCATTTGGTGAGAGAGAAGACGAGGTATTCAAATAATGAAGGGCAGGCCGGCAGTGTGGGGTGACATAAGAATGTGCGATGGACTTGCACATGTCTAAATTCTGATCGTATGCTGTGTTCAAATTCGGCACCTTGAAATCAAATTATAGAACCAGGATCGGTTGGATAGAACAAACCTGCAAATCTAAAAAGCAAAGGCACAAATGCGATATTTCATATTAAGTTCAATTTTTTCTAGCAATTTCAAATATTCATGTCATCGAAGAATCTTGATGACATCCGCCAAAACACATATAGTGGGTGTCCGGGGGGGGGGGTCTTCCCGATGCTAACGCCTTCATAGACTGAACAACTTACAGAATAAAACAAGCAACTTTAACAACAGGTAAGTTCTCGCTGATTAGTTACGTGGTTACTCATTATAATCACTGAAAAGAAAAGTTACTTTAAGTCCCGAGTCAAAATGTTCAGATTGTTTAGTAACTAATTGTTGGAAACCGGCAGTCTATTTAAGGAAGCCGAAAGCTGCAATGCCCTTCCGGTAAGAAAACCGGCCATGTACATTTAACCTCATTTTCTGAACTGCTACTGGTAAATCCTTTCCAGTTGAAGTGAATATATATCAGCACCATGAGAGTTAAGGTACATAACATCCTCTCACCCGAATCCTGAATACACCGTACGTGTATGTAAAACATACACGATCGCCCTCATGAAGGTCAAGCATTCTTCTGTAGTCACATTTTGCTCCAACATAAATTGAGACATCATCAAAATGTTGAGCCTATTATGGTTTTTCAGGGTTTTTATTCCAGGCATACTTGGAGTGTTTGTCCGTCTTTACTGCATATATACAATCACTACGTGCTCCCACAATCAAGAGCATGTTGAAAACTGGGGGAGTATTTAACCGAAAACGTCAGTGAGCAGGCTACACTTGTGATGTCAGGGAAAACTTTGGTATAATGCAGCAAAAAGGGGTGGCGCAGTATAAAAACAGGAAATATGATGTCTCACCCCAAACCTCGAAACAGGTGAATTTCCAACGGCTAAAGGATCAATCACACATTTGCTGACCATCTGTAAAAATTACTTCTAGGTTATAGAAGTGAAACAAAAGGCCTGGTATCGTCAAAGTAGGGTGTTCTCTTACGTTGATACATTAGTTGGCCAAAACTATCCATTCTCTGAAGAGAAAATAGGTTAGTTGTAATTTTTCAACAGTTTTATATCTTTTTCCAAACTGGTCATAACCTGGGGTGTAGAATTTGTTATTTCTTTGGGTTCAAATTTAATAATTGATTACAAGAGGCACCAGTTGATGAACTCTTAGGACCGTGTGTGCCCATGGAGCAGGCCTCTTTATACGACAGGTTGTGAAGCTTTAAGGTTCTCGGGCCAGTGTTTGATTGACAGGCAACAGTACCCGCATCGTTTGGGTCATGGACAACAAATACCCCGATAATGAACCTGAATACAGGAAGACGACAGCCACAAGGATACCGAGGTTGTGAGGGGGGAGGGGAAGATTATGGGGAGGGGATTAACAGGAGGCCACTTGAGAACGTGTCGAGCAACAATGGCGGCCTAATGATGGAGGGTGGGAAAGCCTAAATTTTAAGAGTCGAGGACACTGGATGTTGTGTATCATCCCGTTGGAGTGCGAGTATTCACTGTGGTGTGAGCTCGCGAGAAACAGTGCAACTCGCCAAGAGGATGACCACTGGGCCCGGCTTAACTTGGACGACTTCTGCCCAGCCGTCACCGACATTAATGTTTTTGGTAGCAGAGATAACATGTTGTCAGATGTCCACTCGAGTGCCGTGAGAGACAGGCCGTGCAAACAGGCTCGCAGCTGCTTAAGGAGGGTGATTGACAGGTTTCAATGTCAGTTATTTGGGGGCCGACATAGATAGAGAGGGGTTGACTGCACTTTTCGGCGTTCGCAGGCCAGGAATCTGTGAAGGGAGGGGCGTGGCTGGAAAACGTAGAAATTCATGATTCACAAAGAAGCGGTATTTTGTACGACAGTGAGTACCTCAACTTGGTTCCCCAACTTGTGCAAGCATTGCAAATAAAATGCATGAAATCGGCTGACAAAAACGTGCTGCGGTTGTATTGGACAACAAAATGTCCAAGCTAGTTTTTAATTCGGCGGATAGAGGGCGCCCTTTGCATAGAACAGAGTGATACGGCACGTACGATGCTCTGCCAAGTTCCCGTGGTTTTTTACGATCCAGTTAGCTTGCCTTTAAAAATTATGTTCATCAGCTGCACGAAAATAAATAAATGATGCTAGTAACGCATCCCGAAGAGTATTTGATTCGGACTATTTCGTAAAGGAAAAGAGTTTTAGACTTCCATCATCAGTGGCGAGATCAGGGCATTACTGTACCTAAACTGTTGAAATAATGTTTGCTCTTGAGCTACGTTATTTATGGCAGACCTTCTACCTCGCCTCAAAGTTGCAGTTTTATTCTTACAAGTTTTAAATTGTACATGTACAACATGAAGGAAGCATGGAGGCATTTCACTACCAAGACCTAGGTGATGCAATGTAAACCAAAGTTAGTCATTTTGTGCCCACAAATTCGCCAAACTGACTAAAATCCGGGTCTCGATGACTTAATAAATCAAGACTGGAATAATCTTGAATCAACGGTGACTGACTTTGGTCAAATTTGGATAATATTTGACTTCTCTTTGACTGCTAAATGTTAGTCATTAGCCTGCCTGACTAATCTAATTTGGTCATTTGAGACCTAGAGCTGGACTTACTTTTTTCAGTTAAAATGACTTTTTTTACAGTGTGACAAGGCAGAGTTAAAAGGAATTTTTTTTTTGTAGGGAAATAACTCACAAATTTGGGCCATTTTATCAACAGTTTTTCCACCACTTTCTTTTCCAAAATTTGTGTCGGTTCTACATTAAGCGTTGCTTTCATACAACCATCCTTCCCCACTGTCGGGTTTCAACAAAAAGTGGTTGGGTTCAGGGCCCACTCAACTTGTTTCAGGGATTTTACCAATAACACTTCACCAGTTTCTCCTGTCAGCGACTTATACACTTTGTGATGGCTTTTTTCTTGAATATTCTCAATTGGGTCTGTGACTGAACCAGTGTTGGAAGTTGAGAGTTCTAAGCTTCTTTCACCAACGTCACTAAAACACAGATTGCCTGTGTTTTCTGCATTTTACTGAATCCCAATTTTTGGATAATAAACTTTAAAATTGATCATGATTCGAATATTTTACACCATTTTAAACTCCTCGGAAATTCATGTGTTTCAACATGACAGTTGTTGGGGTTATGGCTGCAGTTCTTTTTGGTCATTTAAAGAGAGTAGCCACGGACACGAGAAACATTGCCTGTCTTTGGAAGTGGTCACACTTCATCTCAAAGGACACCACAGAAGGTTAGTTGGTTTCCTGGATGCCACAGACGTGCTGTGGCCAGTCCCCTTCGGTAGTCTGGGCACTAGCTGGCCCACTGGACAATTGTCGTGAATGTTGTAGGCATCACTGCTACTAACTCGTTAGCAAAGTTTCGGTGGTGCTGTCCTCCTCCAAACTCTGCGGTTTGGTTTCAGGCACCTCGGGGAAGCCAGCTAAGAGATCTGTCCCCGCCTTATCTGATGATATGAAGAAATGAGATAAAAAAAATGAGGATTCTGTGAATCAGTGACTGGGCCTATTTTACTCAAATGACCAAATCGCGTTACCTAATGCTGCGAACGTACTTTGTCCTATTCATATCAGTTATAAATGATTGACAAATGCAACTGAAGAAAAGTGCACGTATTTTCAAATTCTAACTTTGAGTGGCACTGTAGGCCTGTACTGATGTTTTCAAGCAGTTTGTGGCTTGTTACCATTTTTCACCGACAAAAAGTGAAACGAATAAGACACTGGTAGGATAACTCTCAAGAACATTACACCAAGAACAATGGAGCATTGATCATTACCCCCTCCTCAAAGATATTCTTCCAAATTTTTTAAGGAAATGGAAATGTTTTCAAACTGGTACTAGCATATGAAAAGCCCTCCCCACCACTTCTAAAAATATATTTATTGAATGTATATTTTTGTCAGCAAAACAAATCCCTATTCCGCCCCTCCATGTAAATCCACAGATTCTCAGGAAATAAATGCTCCGTAATTTTTTAATTAACAACAGTCTATACCTTTCTGATGTTAACAAGAATGACTAAAGAAAGCTCTTTGAGTTTAAAAGACGTTTTTCTTACTTGTTTGTCTTGTAGTCACCCCACTTTCCGCGAGGAGATCGGCAAGCTCAGTTTCCAGGGCATCTGCATCTAGGCCCGCTGAGAAAGAGACTGATTCGTCAATGGACTTATTTCCCTGGGACATGGTGTCATCTATTTCAGCGCACAGCTCCATAACCTGAGAAGAGAAACCATAATGGTAACACAACCAATGGTGATCACTCATATTTGTTGCAGAAATCCCGTAAATCTAAGACTTCAGACAATTCCAGTTTGTGAGGAGTTAAGGAGAAGAGTACCTTGAATATACTCAGCCGATTACTACTACTAATATTAACAACTTCCTTTTTACCAGATGCCTTTTCAAATATTTTGTCTGGAAACAAGTAAGATTTGAAGAGCTGATTAGGTGACCTGAAGAGTACTGAGGTGCATTTGGAGGGTGGGGTACATCGAACAGAACCAGCCCACATAGAGAAGGGGAGAGTTATGAGTTTTCTACCTCCTGAACATCCGACAGTGTGTCATCCACAGCCTCTGGTGTCAAGCCATTGGCTTTCAGTGTCTGCTTCAAAGCGCTGGCCCCCGCTCGATATGCTTCCAAAGTCTGGGCATGAAAAAGAGACACCTATTACGAGTAAGAACGTAGTTCGAATTCCAACAAGAGTCTGTTTCCAGACGGGCCGTTCTGAAGACTATCAAGTCCTTCTGAGGCACAACGTGGTTGCCTTGTAAAATGCCCACAAAGCAAGTCATTTTACATCGCTGCACTTTCAAGTCAGGTTGCAATGGCGCTGAGCAGCTCTCATAAAGAGACAAGGCTTTGAAAATAGCCAAGGATATGACTCACAGTGACAGTATTTAAAGTTATCTGAATGGAATAGGCACAAGTTACGTCTACTGTCCTCTCACCATTGTATTTGTTTCGGCTCCTTGAATCTGATCAAGCAACTGCTGTAGCGTGTCTAGTGTGGTTTCCTTCTTGGCCAACAACCTCTCGATAATCTTTTTCCTCCGCAAGATGTTCTTGGCCTTTCGAACAAGGAAAACAGTTACCAATCAAGCACATTTGAGTGGTTTACACTTGCTAGTCCAGGTAAATGTTGCGTAGGGAAATACGTGTCCATCCAGGCTACCACTTCCAGCCCCGAATAACCTTGTGCTATCAGTAAACGTATGCCACAGGCTAAAAATCTCAATGAGCAATCTACTCACGGAGGACTTGAGACCCTTTCTGACCATCAAGGCTGCCTCATCGCGCAGATTGTTCATGTCCTTCTGGTGTCGTTCAATCTGCTTCTTCAGAGAGTTGATCGTTCTCCGTAAACTGAGAAAGAAAAAACATCACTCAGTACAAATCTGCTGCTTTTGTTCTTTAAACGACCAAAGACAATCACTCACAGCCTTGGAAGCAGCCAGATGATCGCACTCACCCCACAATGCCGAGTTCTTTCTCACAAACAATTACTCACAGTGTTGGAAGCAGCCTTATGATCGCACTCACCCCACAATGCCGAGTTCT